GAAAAATCCATCCTGGAGTTGGAGACTACACATGGGAAGGTTTTCCTTTATTTTTGTTGAAGAAGGAGTGAAATGTAGGGCCTACAATCATGAAATCTGGTCTGGATTTGTCTGTATTCCTTCTGAGCTGTCCAGGAGAAAGCTGCAAAAAAACAGGATTACATCTGCTGTCCCTCAGGCTGCTATTGATTCCAACCATTCTGCCCATAATCCTGAAGGATTTGCTAAGGGGATTCAGGAGTCTGAGACTCTGGGACTGCAAGACAGGAAAGGCAGAACAGCTGCTCTTCTCCTCTCTTCTGCAGCAGGAGAAAAACAACAGCAAAACCAACAGAAATGGAATAAAACAACCCAGAATTGTCTCTACTGTTGCTATCCTCCTCTCTGGTCTGTCACTGCTCCTTTTCACACTTGTTCTCCTCCTCTCCTCTCCTAGGGCAGGGCCTGGGGCAGACACAGCCAGAGGGTTCATGCAATGGGAAAAATGCTGCTGAGGTTGGAAAAGACCTCTGAGGTCATTGAGTCCAACCTGTGACCCATCACCACCTTCTCAGCTAGACCAGAGCACTGAGTGCCACATCCTGTTGTTCCCTGAACACCTCCAGGGATGGTGACTCCACCACCTCCCTGGGCAGCACATTCCACTGCCTGACAGCTCTTTCCATGGAGAAATTCCTCCTGATGTCCAATCTGAACCTCCCCTGGCACAGCTTGAGGTTGTTTTCTCTTGTCCTGTTGTTCCCTGGGAGCAGAGCCTGATCCCACCTGGCTGCACCTCCTGGCAGGGAGTTGTATGGAGCAGAAGGTTCCCCTAAACCTCCTTTTCTCCAGGCTGAGCCCTCCCAGCTCCCTCAGCTGCTCCTGCTGCTCCAGTCTCCAGCCCCTCAATGACCTTCTTGTCCTGTGCCTGGGACAAACCAGTGCCATTGGTCTCTTGCCCACCTGGGCACACCTGGGCTCATGTCCAGCCACTGTCACCAGCACCCACAGGGCCTTTCCCAGCTTTCCAGCCACTCTGCCCCAGGCCTGGAGCATTCCATGGGGTTCTTGTGACCCAAGGGCAGGACCTACCACTTGTCCTTGTTGCACCGTGGGCCTTGGCCCATGGATCTCATGGATCAGCCTGTCCTGATCCCTCTGCAGAGCCTTGGCCCATGGATCTCATGGATCAGCCTGTCCTGATCCCTCTGCATAGACTGGCCCCATTGATCCCATGGCTCCC